TGTTGCGCTACTCTGACAGTCCATTTCCACCCGCCTATTGTCTACTTCTGTACAGAATAAACAATTCCTTCCATCTGGCGTTTCATCTTTCTCTTTCCACCAGGAATGGGACCTGAAGATGCCACTGGCTAGGGTCTTACCTATTAACTTAAGCCCCTGCGATACCAACCCCCCTCACCCTGAAACGCCTCTTTTAGGTTTTGTTACCGAGCTAGATCGACGCTTGGCAAGACCACTTAGACTAACTAAATAGGGGAACTTCAACGATGGCAATTGTTTTCGGTCGTTTTAACAAAAAAAACATTTATATATTATCTGATTGGGCATGAAGTGGCCCTTTGCCATATTGCTATGTATATATAATTTGCCTTACTTATTCCGTTTGTTATGTATTCGCAGAACTGGCCTTTATCCCCGCTTGTTAAATTTTGTGTTGCGCACAGCACTTCAATTGATTTGACTTTTGTGTACCAATAACTGATATTTCACACACTGCCTTTGGTCGGTGTAGTCGGCTAAGTTCAATATAGCTTGACTTACCTTGACTTGTTCACAGAGTGGGATCACATTATCGATCGTTCTTACTTGCCAATTGCATGTTCTGTTGGAAAAGATCAAGCAATTGGACTGACGTTCCTGCAACCTGACCAAACTGCTTTCCAGAAACCACTTCTTTGACACCCTCTGGAGGAGTATAATTGTCGAGGGAATCTGGCCAAATTTAGTTGAGATGTCTGCTTAGGTCTGTCTATCTCTAGTTAACAGATTGTCTGTACGTCTTCTAGGGTAATCAGAAAAAGTTTTGAGCTCCCAGTACTCACCTTTCGGTGTGCCAGCTGACTCTTGGGAAGCGCCTTTGTAATTCAGTTGAAGGAGGTCCAGCCAACGTTCTCGACAGTTACTGCAATAAAAACACGTCATTCATGCCAGCGTGTGACGTGTTGACTGGCGGGTTGTGATAATTCAGTCAAAACTACTGCTACTCATAATAACAAAGTAGACGTTAATGTTCATTATTTTCGACTAGCCAAAGGCTGCTTGCCTTTCACCTGCAAGTACAGTAGATTACACAAGTCATGAAGTATCCAGAGCGAAATTTGAGGGAGTAGTTCAACAGACACTTAAGACTGTTAATTTTGTACTGTTAATTGCTTTGAAGCGCAAAAAGCTGGTTACTAGAGAAGAGGTAAGTTCAGAGGAAAAGTGGGCCCAATCCAACGTTCCTTGATATCCAAGGAATTTCCTATCCTATTAAACGCTGCCAATCAAAATCTCTTGTTTACGTGGGTTGTGTTCTAACATGACGGAAAATTCCGTCTTGCCTTAATAAAAACCAGGTAAATGCAAATATGAAAATCGTGTTGTTTTCGGGAAAACAACGAAAACTGTTCCAGTTTATACAGAAAAGTGAGATCTCCCATTTTTCAACAGAACATTTATCCAAATTTTCAGGGAATTAAAAAAATCAGCCAACATTCCCACATTTATCTTAAATTAACTTTCAAAGAAGGTAAAACACGTAGATATTCGACGCCGAGATATCTAAATAAAGCCCTTTTTGAGGAGGTTATTTCATCTTTGATCAATTCGTTCACTGTGGCAAGCGAAAACACACGGCCCTTCCAAACAACTGCGGAGTTTTTCTAAGGTCTATCCTATCCCCTCGTCTCTTCTGCATCCAACCTAACGACATAAGTTCGTCAAACGAAGTTGTGTAAGAAAAATATGCTAATCATCTAGCTGTTGGTCATCCAACGCATCTCCAGGTCCCGAGAAATGACCTGGACCACGTCTCAA